CTAATATTAATATATAAAAATAATATTATATATTAATTATATAACTTATATTATATAAATATACAATATCTATATTAGTATATTACTACTATAGTATATTAATATATTATTATTATTATTTTATTATATATTATAATTTATAAAATTTAATGTTTTAAAATATAATAAATTTTTTATATATAATTATTTTATATTATTTTATATTTCAAACAATAACGATTCGAACACGAACGAACGCATCACTGTTCGTGTTTGGTTCGTTTAACTAACCGAATGAAAAAAATTTGTTCGAGTTTGTCTCGTTTACTTATCGAACGAATCGAACACGAACTCATTGACGAACCGAACACGAACTGTTCGCGAACAACGAGCTTTTTTGACAGCCCTAGTTGGAGGCCAATGCTTTCTAAATGATTTAATAAGCATATGCCAATGCATTATTAAGAGCTTTATAATCTAATGTTACCAATTATCATGATCAGGTGTAATGTGTGAGAGAGAAAAAAATAGCCAAAAAATGGGTAATCGGTCTAGAAATAGCCCATATAATTGCTAATAAGTTGGAAATTCCATACAGAATGGACTTGCTTTTATATTGAGAATTCTACTAAGGTTTAGATCCAATAGATCAGATAAACCTATTTGTCCTTTAACCTCATTGTGAGAGAGTCTCCGAAGGATTAGTGTGAATCAATAACATAGTCACATATGTATTGCTAGTTATCAATATCTGGTGGTAATTAAGGGCGGTGCAGTGAGCCTTTTTAAAGTAATTTTCTAGACATATACAGTGAAAAAGTACATTAATTTGCCAGATTTCAAAAACATAAGCTTTTTATTGCATGTATATATAGAAGGTGCCGGTTCATGCATTCAAACCAATAAATTACTTCCTGAAATAATGCTAAGCATGCACTTTGGACAGTTATAAGACAGAAAAAAGTTTCACAAGGCTTGGGCAGAAAAATAATAAAAAAAGATTTGCGTCCTCCTGCACATTCATAAAACAAATTCTTGAGAAATGTTTGCCCGGGATCAATTCTAAAGGCTTCGCATTCAAGCCAAACTGAGCAAACAATATAGATGACAATTAAAAAAAAAAACAAAACTAGTTATAAAGCTTCCTTACAAAGTTAATATTGATTGGGTTTGAGATATATCTAACCAGTCAAGATTAGCAATCCAAATGATTAAGGTAATATCAATTGATTGAATTAAAACTCAGATCAAACTTTGCTTAATATGAATAAAAAATAATCTATCTTCAATCTTACAGCAGGCAATCCCGAAAATTCATAACAGGGATAATTCTAATCCCTGGAGAGAGAGGGTGTCTTGTAATAAAGAAGATTGCGCACTTTAGTAGGACAAAAATATTAGCCAATCAGGCAAAAGAAAAAAACGTGATGTTTGATAGAATGAACCATTAACCCTTGCCTAATCCAGAATTAATATAAAAATAAAAGGCCATTGGACAACTAAATTGCACATTAAGCAGAAAAAACCACAAGTTGGATGGTAAACAATACTTTCAGCACTCGTCAAGCATCAGAGCAGCCAAAGGCCTTAACAATTATTAAAAAAAAACATTAGAAAATAATACTCAAAAGAAGTATCAGGACAAAAATGGTATCGGGTGCCCCTAATATAAAGGTGAGGAGGTATTAACTATGGCATGTGGCGTTAATTGTGTAAACTTTGTGATTGATTATTTTTTTTTCCAGTCCAGAAATAATGAAGGTATGTACAACAATTTTGGAGCCAATGAAATAATTTGAAATCATTCATACAAAATATATAGACACAAAATTACACAACTCTTAAACATCTTTTATGTTTTTGTGAAACACATGCTTAATGTTACTTGTTGCAAAATGAAGTCATTCCCAATCACATTTGTCCCAAGAGCTCCTGACATTCTTTTTTTCCAAATACCAAGTTTAATCAATACTAGCACTAGCTCTCATAAAAAAAAAGTTAGATATAGATCCCACCAAAGCCAAACAAGTTCATAATCGGAAGAATAAAATTCACAAACAAAATAAACAAATAATTCTATATTTTAAAACTGGGCTAGCTTCCAAACACCTGTATTATGCTATAAAAACAATGCAAGAAACGTGAGACAAGAAACCAAATTTAAAACAAAAATAGAAAAGAAAAAAGCAGCAGAAATAGGACCATTTCATTGCATTAACCAAAAACAATTTACTTGGAAGACCTAAAACACTGATAAGCATCATCTACCCAAATCTCGAAAATATTATCTTAATAGAGACAAAATTATGCTCATTTATCACAGTGTTATCTAGTCTGATACTATAAGACAGCCAAATATAACATACAACTTAAATCGTTGTTCTGAAGAATTCCGTAGTCCCAATATAACCACAATACAAGTAAAAGTACAGACACGTTAAAAAACATAAAAAAAGCAAAAAAAAAGTTGCTTATCAAAGCTTAAGAACAAAAGCCAGATATATCAAATATTCAATTCAACAGAACATAGCTACTCAACAAGAACAATTTGAACCAACAACGGCATTAAGCTTACAAAGAAAGTTCAGCGTAATTCAAGTATAGCTAGAGCTTACTCCAGCTAAATGAATGAAGGGAAGGTAGACTTGAAAAGGAGATTTTTTTTAAAAAACTATGACATTACCAAGGACAATGGGATCAGCAACTAAGGTTGCTGCTGCGCGTCCATATATCCGGCATCTACGAGAACTTTCTCCCTCTTGGCAAGCTCAATGTCATTATTCACCATCATCTTCACAAGCTCCTTGAACCCAACTTCAGGTTTCCAGCCCAGCACCCTCCTTGCCTTTGTTGAATCACCTCTCAAGCTATCAACCTCTGCAGGTCTGAAGTACCTTTTATCGATCACCACATGATCCCTCCAATCCAACTCCACATGTCCGAATGCCTCCTCGAGAAACTCCTCCACAGAATGCGAATCCTCAGTTGCCACCACATAATCCCCAGGCTCGTCCTGCTGCAACATCATCCACATTGCCTCAACATAATCGCCTGCGAAACCCCAGTCCCTGGCTGCAGATAGGTTTCCAAGGAATAGCTTGGTCTGCAAACCGACCTTGATACGGCCGACAGCACGAGTGATCTTTCTGGTGACGAAATTCTCCCCACGGCGTGGGCTCTCGTGATTAAAGAGTATGCCGTTGCAAGCGAAGAGGCCGTAGGCCTCGCGGTAGTTGACAGTGTACCAATGCGCAGCGCACTTGGCGGCCGCGTAGGGCGATCGGGGGTGGAAAGGGGAGGTCTCGGATTGAGGCGGTGGCGTGGATCCGAACATCTCCGAGGACCCGGCCTGGTAATAGCGCATCCTCTTCTTGGAGGATGATCGGACGGCTTCGAGAAGGCGTAAGGTGCCGGTGGCGACGACATCAGCGGTATAATCGGGGATCTCAAATGACACGGCGACGTGGGATTGAGCGGCGAGGTTGTAAACCTCGTCGGGGAGGAGGGTATCAACCCATCGGCGCAGAGAAGAAGCGTCGGAGAGATCGGCATAATGGAGCTTCATGCGGGCTTTGTGTGAGTTGTGGGGGTCGACATAGAGATGATCGAGGCGAGCGGTGTTGAAGTTGGAGGATCTGCGGATGAGGCCATGGACTTCATAACCCTTGCCCAGGAGGAACTCCGTGAGGTAGGACCCGTCTTGTCCAGTGATTCCGGTGATCAGCGCCACCTTACGCTGTGGGGAGAGGGTCGGCGGGATCTTGGCTGCAGCCGCTAATGTCCCGTTTGTAGGCGTAGATCCGTCGACACCATGATTGGATTCGGTGGAGGAGGCCATGAAGGTGGTTCTCGATCCGCCGGATCCGGAAGGAGAGAAGAAAAGCACGCGCAGTAGCTAGCAAAATTTTTTCTGTGTGGATTATTGAAAATAATGTAAAAATAACTTGAAAATAAGTTATGAATAACCAAAGCCGTCCTAGAGCCACGTCAGGAGTCCGAACAAAAAATGCGCTCGCTAGTTAGGGAGAAATGAGAATCGCGATCTACTGTTTTTCGGATAAATTATTCAAATGCAGTTTTCACTTGGAGAGATTTTGAGACTTCAATTTCAACATGTCTTGCAGCCGATGAGCCAAACAGAACACATTTTTGTACTGCCTCAAAAAGGCCTAATTTTTTTCTGTGCGGACTCCTGATGTAGTTCTACATGTCGTGGATGCTATTCATGAATTATGTTCAAGTTATTTCTGGGTTATTTTCAATAATTATGAAATAACCCACGGTTTTTATTTTTTGATTATTTCTGTGTTATTTTGGGATTATTAAAAATAACACAAAAATAACATAAAAATAATTCAGGAATAACTTCCGTCGCACGTAGAGTTACGTCAGGAGCCCGGACATAAAATGTGCTCATCAAAAAGTGAGCGATTATTGCACGAGGACACTCACATACATGCAGAGTCTAGTGAGAGTTTGTCACGTGGTAAGTGAGCTCACTGTAATACACTAATTAGAAAAATTCTTCCATACAGATCGGACACCGCACGCATCTTGCGTGCGGTGTCCGATCCTGACCGTAAATCAAGTGTATTTCGGTGGACCCCATCTAAATTTTTTTTAAAAAAAAAAAAACTGAAATAATTCAGACCGTAGATCATCGTGATCTACGGTCATGATAGGACAACGCATGCAGAGATTCATGCAGTGTCCGTATGCAATAATTTCTCCACTAATTGGGTAAATTTTTTAGAGGAGTGGGCTCGCTTGCCATGTGTCACACTTGCACTTGATTCCAAACACATATTTTTCCGCATGAACACATTCAACTTTAATTTTCTTTATAAAATTATAACCATTACATCGATATTTGATAGCTCAATTTCATTTTATTGGAGAGATTTTAGTATCTCTTCCATCTAACTAACCGATATCACAATCAACATTCTTAACTTATTGTGATTTTTCATATATATATATCTATATATATATATATATATATATATATATCTTCAAACATGTCTACACTAATATTATTTGTTACAGCTCAAACTCTAACCTTCCAAAATATTATTTATTTAGGTCTAACGGCTATTTCTGGGTTATTTCAAGATTATTGAAATCGCCCATCCTAAGAATACTCTCGCATGAGCATGCTTAACTTTGAGTTTCAAAATTATTATGCATTAATCCCTCTTGTGCAATTGTGGAACACTAGCCTGATGGTGGAAAAGAAAAGTGCCCCACAGGACTATTTTGGCACTTCACTCCTATAATTAACTACTCATGAAATAACTTCTTTTTTTATAAACTAAACTATAAGAAATTTTGTTAGATTTAAAGTTACAAAATGTGAGATAATTTCTAAAGCATAACTTCAAATTATAAGCAATTTTCTAATCCTTCAATTTCATCAACCGACTACTTGTTATGGACCAATAAAAAATTCAACATCTAATAAATAAGATGGATGTTTACTATGTTGAGCCAAACCGCTGAAGGGCAAACTCCACCTCAACACCATTAGTCCATAGTTAAAATAAACTATGCTTTTCTTACTGGTCTAAACTATAAGTCATGTTTCAATAAAAATTCACCTAGGCCAATTGATAATTTTTTAATTTATTTTTATTTTTAAGAGACATTTACAACAAAAACAACAACAACAACAAGCCTTTATTCCACTATGTGGGGTCAACAACATGAATCTTTTTTCTCCATTGCATCGTATTGAGTGTCAAGTTATCATTTAATTTTAATAAATTAAGATCATTTTTATACAGTAAGCTCAAGTTTTTCTTAATATAAGTTGTATTTAAAACATCTATTATTCTCCTAAAGGGATCATCAGATGGTCGATGTTTAATGTGACCAAATCATCTAAGACGACTCTCTCTAATTTTGTCAGCCACTTGAGCAACACCAAGCCTATCACGGATATATTCATTTCGCATTTTGTCTCTAAATGTAAAGCCACTCATCCACTTAAGCATTCTCATCTCGACAACATTTAACTTAATTTTATGCTTCTCTTTTAAAGGCCAACATTCTTGGCCATAGAGCATTGCATGTCTCATTATCATCTTATAAATTTTCGTTCCCGTCTAAGTGATACTTTTCTATCAAACAATAGGCCCGAAGCATTCCTCCACCTCAACCAACCAGCTTGAATTCTACTAATAACATCCCTATCTATATCACTGTCACTTTGAACGATATAGCTGAGATATCTAAAGTGTTCACACCTTGATCACCCATAACTACAACTCTGTCATTATAGCTATTATTGTTATAATTACATGTCATGTATTCAATTTTAATTCTACTCCAACAAAGGCAATTAAACTCCTAAGTAGACCTCCATAATTCAAATTTTTTGTGAACTTTTTATCTAATCTTATCCACAAGAAGGATATCATCAACAAAAAAACATACACCAAGGTACATCCTCTTGTAAATGTTCAGTAAGAGCTAACTAAAACAAAAGATATGGTTTTAAAGCCGAAACCTGATAAACCAACTGAATTTGGAAAATATTTGGTCAATCTTTCTTTTGTTTGAACACAAGTAATAGCTAAGGTATTCATATCTTTAATGACTTGAATGTAAGTCATATCAACATATTTATTCTTTAGCACTCTCCAAAGGATATCTCTTCAAATCTTATGGTAAGTTTTTTTCAAAATCAATAAAAATCTTATGTAGATCCTTTTCATCCTCGCTGTACTTCTCCATAAAAAATGTATTGCTTCCATGGTAGACCTGCCCGACATAAATCCAAACTGATTATGAGAAATCTTTGTAATACATCTTAACCTATGTCCAATTATCCTCTCTCATAATTTTAAAGTATGACGTATCAACTTGATTCCTTTATAATTTGCACATTTTTGTGCATCCACTTTTTCTTAAAAATGCGGACCAAAATACTCTTCCTCACTCCTCAGACATCATTTTAGTCTTTAAAATAATATTAAAAGGTTTAGTTATCCAAGAAACACCGAAATCTCCTACATATTTCCGTACTTCAATTGAGATATTATCAAGTCTTGCATACTTTCTACCCTTGATTATCTTTAAAGCAGCATCAACTTCCTTTTTACTAATGTGACGGTTAAAATGAAACATTTTATTATTATTAACAATATTAAGATCATTAAAGTTAATTATATTTTCACAAATTTCATTGAAAATTTTATTAAAATAACTCAACTATATACATTGAATAATTTTTTTCTAAGACAAAACACTTTTTTATTATATAT